CCCACCAACTCCTCACAGATTCACCTCCACCTCCCACCAACTCCTCACACATTGACCTCCACCTCCCATCAACTCCTCCCAGATTCACCTCCACCTCCCACCAACTCCTCACTGATTCACTTCCACCTCCCATCAACTCCTCCCAGATTCACCTTCACCTCCTAACCTACACAATTTAGTCACCGATGCATGACCAACCAACCAGGAGTCATACCTTGAAAGAGAACTGACTCTGCCTCTTCCAGAAGCTATCAATTGCCAGTAGTGCCTCAGCTAAAGGGATGGAACTTCATGCTTACTTCACTCCCAGTCCATGCTGGGGTTTGGTCTGGCTCTAGCTGGCACAGAGTTTATATTACAGTTGCCCTGTTGTGTCCTGAAAACACTGTTTCACCATAGTCATCCACCACCACTGGCTCTGACAATCTTTTCTCCCCTCTTCTGTGAGGATTCCAGAGGGAAAGGGTATGATACAGATGCCCCATTTAGGGCTGAATGTTCTAAAGTGTCTTATTCTGTTCACAGTGATCAGTTATGGGTCTCTCGTGTTAATCGCCAGCTACTGCAAGATGAAGCTTTTCTAAAAAGGTATGAGAGATGCACTAATCTATGTGTATAGCAATAATTCATTAGGAGTTGGGTTCATACTCTGTCCATTTAGCAGAATAATACTGTTAGGTTCTTCCCTAGCATACATGACCTATCTTGCCTCAGATTCTTGGCCCCAGTAATGGCACTAGGTAAGGGTTCAATCCAACCATCAAGTGTTTGGTTACTCCCATAATATTCCTGCCACTATTGCACAAACGTCAAATTTTGCCAAACTAATCATTATTGTAGTTCACAGGGTCCACAGCTAGGTAAGACCAGTGAATACTTTTTTCCTCTAGGTGAATTCATAGCACCTTCCAGCACTATGAAAGCTAGTCACTAGGGATAAACCTTCCAGGTTAATATCCGCTTGATTTCTCCATGTTCTATGACTCAAGAATTTGATGTCTTCAGCAATAGGGTCTTACCATCAAGTTCTGGAGGGCCACCAAGAGCAGTGACAATGTGATTAGGGGCACTTATCAGTCCCTAGGGGGGACTTGTAACCAAAAGAGTTAATACATTTCTGTCAGTAGGCCTTCTATTGGCTAGCCTGTGTCTTCCGGTGGGGGGTCTCATGCCCCTGTTACTGTGTAACTCCAAACTCTTTTTATTGTGTATTTATAATTTAGGATGCTTTTACAGTAGTAGGCTTTCATATAAATTTTTTAAAAGGGTGTTTAAAGTTGGTTTCCCTCCCCTATACCCCTCTTCTACTCTGACCTCCCATTTCTCCACCTCATTTAATGTTTCCTGTTCTATTATTCCACTTTCTTCCTTTATGTCAATGCAATCTATCTTCCCTCTCCATATTCCCTTACTAACTTCCTGACATCTATGGGATTTTCAAATAAAAACACATCTGTCTAAAGACTCAAAGATAGCATACACATATGAAAGAAAACATGGCATGTATCTTTCTATATCTGAGTTACTTTACTCAGCTCCATCCACTTGCCTTCAAATTTCATTTTTCTTAACAGATGAATATTTCATTGTGAAGATATATCATGTTTTAGTTATCTTTTCATCAGTTGATGGACATCCAGGTTGTTTCCATTATGGATATTGTGAATACAGCAGCAATGAACATGGATGAGCAAGTAGTTGTGTAGTAGGTTGTAGAGTGCCTTGGGTGTATGCCCAAGAGTGGTACAGCTGATCCTGTGGTATATCCATTTCTAGCCATGGAAAATACCTATACACCAATTTTCACACCAGTTTGCAATCCTACCAGCAGAGAATTAGGGTTCATCTTTCTCCACCTCCACACTGCTACTTTTTGTCTTTGAAAAAAAAATCTTATCTGTTTTGATTGGAGTAAGATGAAATCTCAAAGTAGTTTTAATTTGCATTTCTCTGATGGTGTAAGGGTTAAGTTCAATATAACGTTGAAAAAAATAGTTCTCAGCCATTTGTATTTAATCTTTTGAGAACTCTCTGTTTAATTCTTTGCCTTTTTTAAAAAAATTGGGCTTTTTTCCCCCTCCATGTTTAGTTTTTCAAGTTCCTTGTGTAATCTTGGTAATAACCTTCCATCACATGTATGGCTGGTAAAGAGGCAGGAGTTTTATTACCTCATTTATATGTAAGATAAATGAAGCTGTGTGAGATCAAGGAACTTGCTCAAGATGATCAGTTAATGCCTCTAGTCTCAGCTGACCTAGGTTTCACTCCACTACCGTTGAGTAGGCTCAGATAGAAGGATGGGAAGAGCAGGAGAGTGTATTTTATTTCACAACCCCAAGCCTTTTTTCCCCCCTTAAAGATAATTTTAATTAATTTAAATTTAGTTTAAACAGCATCTCAAAGATCAGACTAATTACATTTAGATCTTACCGTTCTAACATGGACAATGTGTGGTAATCTTGGCTGCAGAAATAATTATAATTGAGCTAGGAAGCCAGGCATTTAGAGGAAAAAAATGAACAATCTAAATCTCCATCACAAAATGTAAAGTTTGTGGTTTAAAGAGGGGAGAAAGCATTAAGTGAATGGAGGTAAGGGTTTCCACTGGCAAAGGTTCGAGGTGCTCTCTCTGGGTGAATTTCTGTGATGCTCTAAGACGCTGGCTGTGTTTTGTTATTAGAAGTTTGGGATGCTCCGTTCACTGAGAACTTTCATTCTTCTGAAAGATTTAACTTTGTGTCTCAGTTTCTTTCCTCTTTCCAAATGTAGCACAGTGAGAAGTGTTCCTGAAATAGCACCTTCCCCCAGGAAAGAGAAGAGAATGGGAAAATGTTCAATTAAGCTGTTTTTATTTTTTTGTAATATAGGTGAAAGTTCTTTGTTACTGGAGGGAAATGATACAAGATCAGCAAAGCTTAATACATCAGTAGTGAAGTGCCCTTCACAGTTACACTGTGACACCCTTGAAATGGACTTGACGAAAGAACCAAATTTCATGTTCCACCTAAGAACTATAATAAAAAAAAAGATGTTTTTCTCACCTTGTAAGGAAGAAAATCATTACCAATATAGAGAGGCAACAGTCATTAAATAAATTAAAAGCATCTTTAAACTTTTTCCATATACATATAATATATATTTAAATTGCCATTGACTGTACAAGCATTAAATTTTCAACTAAAACATTTACAGAAATTAGTGTGAAAAGTTGAATGGAAAGCTTTGTTTTTAGAAAAAGGAATCATTTTATCCCTTATAAGTGACACTAGAACACTGAGAAATCAGACTTACCCAAGATTTTTTACTTAGTTGCTTATTCATCCTTACACATCAGGTATGCATAGCTATTTTCTAACCCAACCTTGATTCATGTGTCCAGACGTTTGTTACTTGATAGCACAGAGAAAATGTAAAGCTTCAAGATTAACTGAATAATGTAGTTACAAAAACATTGTATAAGTCAGACAGATGATAGTATTACTTACAATTGTCTATGAAATATTAAATGGGTAATAAGACTTTTATACAGAAATAGTAAAACTTTATATTAATGAATAAATGGTCATCAGTTAATACATAGCTAGGTGAGTGTAAAATTTAACCTGGAATACTGCAATCCTGAGATCTAAGGCATTCAATCTTCCAGTTTCCTTCTACAGCATCAGATTCTGTAAATTATAAATTATTTACACTGGTTACAATGAAGAATTCTTAAAATACTGCATGGATATGGGTAATCCCTTAACTGGAATTCCAGAAAACAGTTATCAGAAAAAGAATGCATAGACTCAAGCCAGATGGGATCCCAGTTCTAGGAGAGGGAGGTAGACACAGGCTCCCACCCCTAATTGAGAAGCTTTAGGCAATTGATACCCACGTGCAAATGGAAAATTAATTTTCTCAATAGAATATCACTGGGAATATTAAACACACTTCAGGGTAGGCTCGGTGATCAGGAATAAATGGTCAACATGAAACTAACCTAGTGGTATTTTTGCAGACGTTTTGTTTAAAAAAAAACTGTTTTCTTAAATGTCTCTGTGTGTTTGTCTGTCTTTGTGTGTGTGTGTGTGTGTGTGTGTGTGTGTGTGTGTGTGTGTGTGTGTGTGTGTGTGTGTCTGGAAGACTGGCTAGGGCAGTGTTTGAAAGGGAAGAGAGGAAGAATGAGGTTGTGAAGGGAGAGAGATAGAAATAGAGACAGAGCAAGCAGGTTTTTATCTAGGAAATACATTTAAAAATGTAATGTTTTCCCCATCGATCCCAATATTGTATATGAGAGTTCTCACAACGTTATGTGGGCACTGTATGGAAACTGGTACCTAACACATTGCAAAATACTCCATTTAAATAAAATTTTATTAATTAACATGCCATTCAATTCACTTTAACCCCTTCTACTAAAATATTTTTAGGAATCATTTTTTTTTTCTATGTATAGCATAGTGTACCTCCAACTTAGTACATGTTGGCATGGTGGCTAGCAGCTGTTCAAACCTCTATTACCATTGCTGAGAAAATGTCAAAGCTCAATGTGTGCTGATTTTAGCATGTCAGCTACTAATCAAAATGAAATATTAATTAGTCAGTAATTGGTAATTTTTATCACTGAGACGAATTGGGTACACTGTAGGACTTAATATGCAGAAAGTAGGAACTGATTTGAGCTTTAAAAGGCTGAGAAAAATTGCTAGAATTTGGGCCTGGTACATCTCTAGGAAAAGCCAAGTTAAGAATTCCATCAGGAAAGCAAATTTTATTTGATGAAAAAGATCCATGAGTATGTAACTTTGTGTTTCTGTCATGTATTCTGCTTTCAAATTTGTCAGAAATTTTGTTAGAAAGTAATTTCATTCCCCACCTGAGTTTGAATGTCTGTAACTTTATGTTACAAGAATGAAAAGTGAACTAGAGGAAATCAGGTAACTTAGGCACCTGCACTTTGTTTTCCAGACTCCCCCACCCCCCCCCCACCCCCCCCCCCACCCCCCCGGCCCGTGACTCGTTGAGAGTTAAGACATAGCCACATTAGCGGCCGTTCCAACTGGAAAGAACTTTGGCTGCCTGTCTTACGTAATAGCCATCAAATAAAATCCTGCAGAGAGCTGGTCTCATCTACACACACCAAAGTGCATCTGATGCTTCCTCTGTTTTATGAACAGAGTACTTGCAGTATTTCTATATCTGTTGTCTTCACCCCTGGAAGACTATGTACAAAATAGCTTGTCTCAGAAACCAAACTCTCAGCATTTAGTAACGACTGGATACCATAAATAGCTACAGGCAGAGATGGGATAAAACCCCATGTGTTCTGATCTCACATGAGATCTGAGGTGGCTTTCTTATTTCTAATTATCATGTAAGACTGATCTAAGAGACAACAACACCAACCATCCATTACCTGAAATCACTTCTTTCTTTCAGGTAAATACAATGACCAAAAGATCTTTTAGATTTTTACATTTGTGTGTGTGTGTGTGTGTGTCAGAGGATAAGTTGTAAGCGTTGGCTATCTCCTTCCGCCATGTTAGTCCCAGGAATGGCTTGGGTAATAAGTACTTTTACCTACTGAGATACCTTACCACTTTGTGGAGTGAAAAATTATAAAACAATTTTTAAGGGCAAAAAATCTAGAAGGAGGTACTTATGACTATTGGAAATGGAAATAAACTGTGTCTGTATTGGCTCCCTTTCTTAGTGGGTAATTTTTAGCAAGCTTTGATTGAGTATAGGTTTCATGATGGAGGCCAATATCTTGATCTCTGTGGTGAAGAGCCTATAAACAAGTGTGGGATCAGATATTTACTACAAGATAGTCATTTACTTGTTCATCACTAACAGATTTTAAGCCTCAACGTCTATGGACAGCATCACATGTAGAAATAGTATAATGACAAGAGAACTAGAAAGCTTATGACTTCAGGAAGGATTTCTCAAATTAGCTTAGAGCAGATGAAAAAAGGGAGATACAGGAGAGCTACATCTGGGTTTTCAAAAACGGCGTTCCTGTTTCTCTTCTGGCATTCAATGAAATGAACACATCCAATCAGATGGCTGCGTCAAGCATAGCTCTTGACATATGATCATACAATCATCAGTGGATGGTGCACATCAGAATATGGTATTGAAAAAAAAAGGAGTCCCATGAAGATGGAACTATAGAACCACATTAAGAAAAATTTTTTTTAACAAATGTACAGGCACCTGGCACACGTGTACACACACTAGCACTCAGCACAACACTAACTCAACTCACATCATGATTGTGGAGAAAAATCAAGGGCAAACTAATCTCAGAAACTCTTTAGATGGACATCAAAGTCAGCTGGGTGCTTAGCAGGCTGGGTTGCTCACAAATCTAAGGCAAGAAACCTAGTAAAATCCACAAGATTCCTATCTATGTCCCTTTAGTCCTCAGATGAATAGAGACAAATGGTTAAGTTATTGCTGTTATTTCCCACCTAGTTTTAAAGCCCAATACAAAAATAAGTCAGTGTGTTCTTTAACACTCCTAAAAACAGTTTGAGTAATGGTTTTTCTTACGTGATTAAAAAAAAAGAAATAGACGTCCACATTTACTAAAATCATACTTTTAGTTACATTCAGAAGAAAATACAGTTCAATTTTGCTTGGTGGAAATCTTCAATCTATTTGTTCATTCTCTTTTGGGACAAAATGCATTGGCAGTGCAAAAATAAAAAAGAAAGAAAGGAAGAAAGAAATAGTCCATCAAACCCAGTTACTGATTGAATCGAGCACTTGAATTCATTCTCTGACGGGTTATCTGCAAGCACAGGAATCTACTGTCATGTTAGGGTAGACTTTAAGCACTACATTCTTGTTTTCATCAAAGAATAAGATGCTGAGTGAGGACATCTTTTCTGGCACACAGCAAGGTTCAGGAATTCCGGAGACGACCCCCACTGCTCTCACTATACTTTGAATGGTCGCATGATTGGACGGCTTCAAAGACTGGAAAGAGAAATAAGAGCAACATGTTAGGTTGAACTGCTTTCCCCAGTCCTCATCACATAGAATGGATTTGTTTGAACCGTTCTCAGAAGGCCCACATCATTGACTAGTCAGTCCAAACTCCTCTACCTCCACCGGTGTATCATCTATAAAGTGCCTGCTGTGCTCCGGGGATTTTGTAGGTGGTGCCTTTAATCTTCCCAACAAATTGGTTAAATTTTTTTTTGCAAAGACTCCGAAAGTTAAATGACGTGTCTGAAGTAAACAGCTGGTAAATAGTAGAGTGAAACTTTGAACTCAGTTCTGTTAGCAGGAATCATTTAATTAGAAACAACTTAGCCCCCAAACCATGGAATTCATGTATTCTCCATGTTCTTAATTACAATGACAAAAATAAATTGTCCCTGACCCTCTGTGAACCTTTAAAGAACTCTAATAAACACGCTAACAGAGATAACTATCACCAACTATAAAGTAAAATTTACTCACTGTTATTATCCCACTAGGTGGGGTAGAAGACTACTTATTTTGTAGGCTATTTTGAAGGTTATTTGTTTTGTAAAAGGATGAGTCTTTGGTTACTATTCCATTCATATTACACAACTATTCAGTTCAGACTGCCAACTGAGGTTGACAAGACCATACCATTGACCACTGGGGGTCACTGTTGCTCCATGGGCAACTTAAACTGGCTGCCTTGACAGTCTAAGGTGGGCCACGTCCTCTGGGAATCAAGTGTGGGGTTTTCACATGGGTGTCAGGAGTCTGATCAAGGACACCTTGGTTAAATCTCTTCCAGAGAAAATAGAATGCATTTGACTTAGACATCTATGCACAGCTCTAAGTGTTGGAAAGAGTAACAGTCTTGAGCCCAGAGTGGTCAGAAGGACTCCCAAAGAGAAGCCACAATGCCTGGCAACACTTTAACTCTCCTAGTGTTTTTTTTCTTAGGTGGATGAAATTAGTTTTGTTTTAAGCACATTTAGAAACAGAAACTTGAGAAGTGAGTTTGTGGCTCAATAGAACATCAATAGATCTACCATGATCCAGGGCCTGGGTTTGATTCCCAGCTGCTCCTCAAAAAAAAAACAAACAAACAAAAAAAAACAACCAGAAACCTGAGCCCTGAGCATGGTGGTGCATACTTGCAGACTTGATTCTTGAAGGGAGAAAGATAAAGAGTTCAAGGCTAGCCTCAACTATACAGGTGGCTGACGGTCACCTCAGGGTTACATGAGACTCCATATCCAAACAAACAGAAACCAAACCAAAAGCAAAGCAAACGACAAACAAACAACAACAACAAAACCAAGGAGGATGACTTCCCAAAGATGGACAGTATTATTGCAACAAAACTTTCATATTTCTTTTGACTCAGAGGCTTTTGGATTCATGAATTGGGATTTTAATTCCCAACCAGTAAAGAACACCAGAATGGAAAAATGGGAAATGGTAGAAGGTCAAGGATGTGCCCAGGCCAAAGAAGTAATGCAGAAAGCTGATGTACTGTAAGAAAAATTAAAACAAGTCAAAGAAAGGATGTGTGCTGGCAGAGAAAGGGAAATGTTATCTGAATTACTTTAATTTCAACAAGAAGAACCCATACACTAACACTTCAATTTTTTGTGAAAAAAATTGTAAAAAAATCTAGTGTTAATAATACAGCACTGTTTTTACTCTTGCTTCCTACTGACTTGAAGAATATTTTTTGAATAGCTTTAATTAGTTAATTAAATGGTTAATCAGCTCTAATTGATTACAGAACAAGATATTCTTGTTGTGTAAGTTTTAAAAAGCCCCAGTATTTGTACTTTACACATTGTTTTCTCTTTATTAAAATGATTTTATTGAATGAAAATTATTAGAAAAACATGTAGGGATCAAAAGAGGATGCAAGTGTATATGAAAATGTCACAATGATTCCCATTAGTCTATATATTTACAAAGAAACAAAAGACCTCCACAAGTCTGTGACATTCACAGCAACTGCCATCAGTGTGGTAACACAGTAGTGAATAACCACTGCAGACTGCTGTGATACTATTACTGAGTTCCGCCAGGAATCTTTGCCACAACCCACTTTTTCTATTATTGATTGAAAGCTATGTGGAAGACTCAGCCTTTCAAACACCATGCTGCTAAAGTTTCAGAGGCAGTTAAAACCAGGTTTTCTCATGTTATTCTCTATGCTTAATGTTTAATGCCTAGATATTACGTAGTGTGGATGGCCTTAATTAGGCGAGTACTTGAGCAATTAGTATGGCTCTGCACTGAATCCCCAGGTCCTAGAATGTATATATCTAGACCCTGAAGCAATGTTGTTAAATGGCTGAAATACTTGGAAGAAACAGTACACCCATTGTTTTACCCATTTATGAGAAATAACTCCTATCAACAAAACTAAAAGATTCTGTGCAAGTGACTTGGAGTAGATATGGAAAATATTCGTGGGTGTTTCCTAGGGAAAATTCCTGTCTTTTTTTTTAATCCAAGTCAGAACTGATGCATTCAGAAACTGAGTGCATGAGTAGTCCCAGTGGGCTCGCCAGAATCAGGCCCAAGCCCTCGATTCTGGGGTGGTGTTTTGTATCAGGGACCTCGCAGATGACTAGGGAGTATCCCCTTTTTTCTAGCTATGGAATCCTCTGATGGAGCTACCATTACCAGAAGTGGTCACATCATGCACAAATAATCCATGCTGTCATTTGCTGGTGTGAAGCATGCTGCCAGTAACAAATTTTGTTTTCGAGCAAGGATCATGTTTCTCATGACTCTCTCTTCTGAGCTTAGAGGTGGTGCCAATCACAAGTGCGAATCTGTGCTCCGTCCCATGTCCATCACTCTGTTTAATGATAGTGCACACCTTCCACATCAATTCAGGTGTGACTTTGCTGAGTTTTGACAAGATTTCATGTTTTTAGTGTTCATCTTCATGATTGAGGTTAAAGCTGGAAGATCTAGGGAGTTCTTTAAGAGTCTAGCATTAATTAAATGTGAATCTCTTTATATGGACTACTCAGTTCAAAGTATTTCAATTATTTGTTGCCTAACTCTGTATCTTTGCTATTCCTAGCTTTTGCACAATTCCTCGCAGAAATAACTTCATTCCTCTAATCCTTGTTGGTTTCTTGGATCTCTGTCAGGAACAATGGCTCAATCATTTTCATTTGAAATTTCTGTTTTCCATTGCTGCTGGGGTGGTGAGGGAGGCAGAGGCACAGGACTTGGCTCTGGCTATCTGGGTATTTTTTCATCATATGGCATCATTCCAAGAGTCTCTCTCTGGGAGAACAGATTGGATTTAAGAGCCAAAAATCAGAAAAAAAAAAAAAACACAAAACCAAAACCCCAAACTGTTGTGTCTGTGAATGAAATCTTCAGTGGTCAGGCTTGCACCTGCCAAGCTGTGGATGATGTCCTCTAGTTAAATTTGATTACAGATGCATTGGAAGGGGAGAGTATGTCATCAGCAAAGAACCTTCATTCCTGACCTGGGCCACGAGGTTTTGCTCCACACTCTTCCAGTCCAGCCCACATGGGTGTGATGGCCCAGAAACTATCTAATTGGAATCAGTGAAAGGGCAAAGCCTGGAATTTGGGAAAGGCAGAACACAGCTGTTCTGAATTATAGAGCAGGTTGTCAACTTTTGCAGACGAAGAGCCCCGCCATATAGGCCAGGCTTTCACCCAGGAGGCCAAAAACAGGAGGCCCAACAGAGGAGTCTGGCCTGGGAGAACTTTCCTCTGAGGCAAAATATATATCTAAAGTCTGAAAGTTCTTTGGCACTCCAGTCAGCCCACATGTGCTGTACTGATTGAATGAGAGACCCTCATTTTCCTCTGCTGGTCAGACTGTATTTTTATTTAAATATCTCATTCTGGATGCCACACCAGACACTGTGCTAACAGCAGTGCATATTAACTACCTCTTCCCTTTACATCATATTTCCCATCCTCCTTTGTTACTAAACTGACTGAAAGACACAAAGTCTTGAGAGCTAAAAGGGAACCCCTAGCACACCTTAAAAGTTAGACAGCTCCACACAAGATGATGCTAATCTTCCACACTTGATTTAGCAAAACGGAATTGCAGCCTCAGAGAAAAGACCTCTGCGTGGATCCCTGTTTCGTGTCCCTGGAGCTCTGATGCCATTCCAAGTTTCAACAAATATTATTATGATGAATCCAGTTACTGCCATAGATCCGCTCTTCATTCTGTTCTCCCCTCCCCCCCAAAAAAAGAACCTCCCTGGAAGAGCTCACAGGCTTCTGAACCCAGAGGGAGAATCCTCCCTGGAAGAGCTCACAGGCTTCTGAACCCAGAGGGAGAATCCTATTTTCAGTTTGTGATGTCTGAAAAAGCACTGAAAACATTTACAGAACCTTTCTGGCCTCACGGCTTTCTTTGCAAGCTTGCTGTCCCTACACAGCGTTTCCTTAGACACCGCTTCTATTCCACTCAGTCTTGTCAACGGCCACTAGTCAGGTCAACAGCAAACAGCTACCGAGTCCCCACTACTCCACGTAGGTTGCTCTGCTATTTCATTTCCTCACTGTGTTTGTTGGGCAGGTCCCATTATTTTTATTATACTCTACTTTAGCTATTTCAAAGAAAAAAATAACACGTAGAAAGTTTTATGGATCTATGGAGGTGGAAGCCAACTCCAAGCCCAAAGAAACGGTCTAGTCTGCTGCTGCAAAAGGTGTTCTGTGAGTCAGCAGCATCAGTACCAGCTCAGGTCTTGTTAGATGTGCAGCATCTCCTGTGTCCTCTACTCCCTGTGCACTATATAAGATCCTATGTATTAATAAGATTCCAAAAAGTTTAAAAGCCAACCGAGGCTTTAAAATTCCTGCTGTGACAAAGTATGATGGTTTAATTATATAGATGCCTCTCCTTAAATTTATCTCTTCAGTTATTAACTTATGCCATGGCAAATTTCACACTATGATTCTTTTCAGTTTCTTCTAAAGTTCTTCTCAAGAAACAGTGGATCTATAAACAGCAGTGAAAGTCCTTTATGAATCCTGAGAGGAGAGAAGGCTCTCAATACAGCCCTGAATTCATAGCCCTTACTTCGGGTTGTATTCTTAAAATAGAAAATTACAAAAATCCTCTGGAATGACAGCTTCATAGGAAATGTACAAAACTCATCGTTCTGTAGTAACTAACAAGAGAAACAGGATTTCAGATAGGTTGCTGGCCTGAGGCTGACCTGGTCTTGTGTCTTCAGCCCTTTTTATGTGTGGGTCAGTCAGTGACTACGCTCTAGCAATATAAAGACCCATAAGCTGAAATTGCCAGTCCAAGAGGCAAAGGAACATTTTCTCTATTTTTAGACAGCAACAAAAAAACTGATTCAGATTTCATTAAAAACTCACTGTGATTCCTCCTCTGAATTCTGTCCATTTAGTCGCTCTTAAGTGTGTGGTAGAGATTTCAGCTGTTGTAAGCTGAGACTGGAAATGCAGCAACAAGCCAAACCTGATACCGAGGGCGTGGCTAATTTTTACTATAGAGTGTACTATTTTTACTCCAGTGCAAAGAGAGCTGTCGTTTGGACGTGCTTGGAAAGACAGACATTGGAGTTGGAAAGACTTCTGAAAACATGCTTGTATGATAAAATGCAGTCCCTGATGCTTCTAAAATAAACAAAGGTAATTTCTGACAGGGCAAGATGGACCTTGGGAGAAGTCACTGTCATCCTGTTCTGCTTTTCTTTTTCTTTCTTTCTTTCTTTCTTTCTTTCTTTCTTTCTTTCTTTCTTTCTTTCTTTCTTTCTTTCTTTCTTTCTTCTCCTTCTCCTTCTCCTTCTCCTTCTCCTTCTTCTTCTTCTTTTTAATGTTTAGCAGTCAAGCAAATGAAATAAGCATCTGTTGGGTTTCAGGCCAATTTACCTAGCCAAACCCTGATTGACCTGCACAGGGACAATTCACCTCATGAGAAACTGTTTATCCAAAAATGCTCCACATCAGGGCAGCAGACCCGTTATTCCTTCTCTTTGCTTCCACAATATTCTTACATCCCTTGAATACCACTCAGAAGTCAGTGTCTGCCATCTGGGGCTTGCTTACCACAGACAGGTGTATATTCACAAGTGACCAACCACATGGCTGGATATGCACCATGTTTAGAAACAAAAAATGCATATTTTACACATATGGTTTTCATAGCCTTCATACCTCATACTACTTTTAACGATCATCAAAGAAAACCCAAGCGTAACCACATTGCCCATTATACTATACTTTAGAATGTTATAAATAAGTTTCTGAATAGAGTTTCTTAAATGGAAACACACTCAGCATGCTCTCCTACACCATGCAAAAACAAATCGAGCACAAGGTAAAGGGCAGTGCTACCTTTGGCATGGGAAACTGGCAGGCTCCAGAGCAGTAATAAGCATCAAATGACTTGGGGGAGATAATCCATTCACTCCAGCCAATATCAGCAAAGTCCACTTTAAGGTACCTCCTGGCACAATTTCGAGGTTCGATCCATTGCTTTCGTCTTGCCTTCTTCAGGGTCTGTTCATCAAACTGCAGCGTCTGGCCCTTCTGATGAGGTCCTTTCCTCTGCTTCTTTTTGTTCCTGCTCTTTTCAGGGGGCTGAGTCTGAAGGGTTTTGTAAGGCCGTCTCTGCTCCCACACGCCATCCTCCTTGTATTGATACTCTGCTCCTGGTAGCTCATTGTTCTGCAGAGGCAACAAGATTCCAGTCGAACGTTTCTTCCGCCTTTCAACGGAGAGAGCAGCTCTTATGTGGCTATCCAGTTTGGGCACAGTTCCTTCGGGGAAATCTCTGTGTCTCTGTAAGCTAGACACCACACTTTCTGGCTCAGAAATGGCGGCATCATTGGCATATACCAAGATGTAAGGCTCCGGGAAAAGCAGCATCCTCTTGGGCAGCTCATGCGCTTTAGAAGTAATGTTAAATCCTATGAGGAACCCTTCATTTTGCTTGGCCTTCCTCAAGAGCTGAGTGATGTCTTTTGACAGCCAAGACATGCTGTCTCGATAAGGTTTGACCACATCTACTGACAGGTGACCCAGGAGCTGACTTTGGTTGGATTTGAGGATCCATGCAGAGAGATCTATCTGGATGTGTTGTCTCTGAGCATGATGGGAGCATCCTTGGGATACCGGACAGCTCAAGCTGATGTTCACTAATTCTCCAATACAGAAATACAGTGTGGCTGACAAAATGTTTTCAGACTTGGTGAGAGAGGTCAGATTAAAAGTGTGCAGCCCCTTTCTTTGAAGAGTTCCTAGGGAACAAAAACAAAAAGCGAGACTGAAGTAAACAGGAGTTTCTACTATTTTATGCACTATTCAAAATTCAACTAAAAATAAATCAGTGCTCTAGATATAATAGTCAAAGCACTAGAATCCTTAGAGGAAGAAAACATTGGGACAAATTCTCATGATTTTAGAGTTGGTAACAGCTTCATGCATATGCCACCACATGCATTCAGTAAAAGGACAAATATATCAATCAATAAAAGTTCTAAATAAAATGAACTTTATCAAAGTTAAAATGTTTGCACATCAAAGGTAAGTACCAAGAAAATGAAAAGATGATCTACAGAATTCGATAAAATATCAGCTATCTGTGTATCTAGAAGTTTAGTAGCTAGGAGGAAACGTATAAGTAAGAGCTTTAATTCAACAGCAGAGATGCTAATATGAGCAAAGAGCAGATACAGCTCTAAAGAAAATGTACAAGTGGCTGACAAGACCTGAAAATCGTTAGTCACTAGGGAAATCAAAATCAAAACCTCAGTGATGTGGCACAAACTCTAGCAGTGTGTCTATCATTGACAACAACAGAAAGCCTTAAGTACTAGAAGGTTTGTGGGAAGAAACTGGAACGCCTTCTGTTTATTAGGGTAGATATAAAGTGATTCAGCTGCTCTGGAAAACACTTTGGCATTTCCTCAAAAATCTAACCAGGAGATTACCATATGATAAAGCAATTCCTCAGAAACTGAAGACAGGGAAACAAATAAGTATATTCACAGTATTAAAAGGTAGTAAGGGCCCAAATGATCATCAGCCAATGCACAGATAAACAACTTGTAGTGTATCGGTAAAACAGAATATTGTTATTGTGAAAAAAGAATACTAATATGTGTTAAGACATGACTGAACCTTGAAAAATTATGCAGCTACATATAAACCACATTTAAAAGCTCACTTACTGCTTAATTTCATTTGCATAAAGCTATCTAAATTAGTTAAATCGAGAGATAGGAGCAGAGGGATTCGATGGGGGTTAGAGGCAGCTGGGTATGAGAAGAAACTCCATAACGGCTCTGAGGCTTTGCTTCCAGGTGATGGAAATATTTCAAAACAAGTCAGAGTTTGCAATTGTGTGGCATTCTGAAGATGTCACTACCACTTTGTCATCCATTCACTTTAAAATAGTTCATTTCATGTCATGTCAATTTCACTTGAATAAAAAAAGAGCAAGGAGGGGCAGAGGGGAGGGTTTGAAGGGAGAAAAGGGAAGGGATACATCGTGTAATTATATTATAGTATCTAGGAAACAACTTTTAAAGAAGGAAAACAATATAGAACAATATTGTATGCAGCCTCTCGCTTTTGAGGGTTTCTATTAGGGAGAGCACTCTGAGCCCACAGGAGAGAAAAGATTGGCCAGCTTTACTAGTTCACTCTTTGTTGGAGCACCGTAAGTGTATGGGAATCATAGCACACTAGTGCACTTAGTGTGTGTATTGTAGCAGGTGGTGTGTGAGCTCTGGAGAACACCAAGCAGTGTGTACAAACTCTTCACTTCGCTGCAGCTGCCTCTGCGAAACGTTAATTCATCCTCCTGGTGCAATCGGAGGGCTTAGAATTTGACCTGGATTTAATTACAGACTCAGTCACTTATTAACTTCGTAACTCTGGACAAGCTAATGTTCTCATTCATAAAACAGAAAGACTATTACAACAAGCGCTTCAAAACTGCTTTGGATAAAGAACATGGACTCCCTTCCCATTGGGTCACATGGCCACTTCAAGCAGCATGAGAGCCTGGCATCTTTGCATTCATTGTATACCTCTCTCCTTTACTCTGGATCAGGTTCCTGCACAACTAGATCAGACTTGTAACTGGCTGAAGGACTGCCTGCCTGAAATCTGGTGGTCCAAGAAGACTAAGCCCCAAATGGACCTAGCTTTGTCTCTCTTCAAGTATGAAGGCATAGAGATAAGAGCAGCTAAGGTACTTCACAGTTTGTTTTACAATGCCCCATTCTGAACCCCTTCTCCAAAAGGGTCTTTCAGGTCTCCCCAGTCAGCATCCTAGGCCTACTGATACTTTGAATTCCAGATACAGTGAAGCTTTACAGGCAAGTTGACCTTACGATGGGGTTATCACTAAAATGAAACAGTTACATCACCATGGGAGCTGAAGCTGTCCCTATACCCCTACAGGAAAAATTGTCTTGGGGATCATGTTGTCTCTTCAAGTGATAAGGACTCATCCAGAGTCACTTGAAGAATCAGAACTGAGACAAAGAGCAGTCAGACCACAGTTTGCCCAGGACCGCTTACTTAGACATACTTAGACATACCCTGTGCATCCTGCACCAACCAGTTCCTCCTGTATGCAAACCTGAAGCTCACATCCGTACCCTGTAGATGAGCTGGAATGTCGAACTTATCTCAGATGTCTTTCTGTTATTGCCATATTGATCAAATTCCTTGCCTACCTTACCACTACTACTTTTCCATCAGTATTTTTGCTGGAAGCCACCAAGCTAGTCTTTGACTACAATGTCTGCTTCCTGTGTCGCCAGAATGATATGTGTAATGCGATATGTGTAACGGTCATAAAAGTTCTAGTATTTCTTAAATGCAAATATAAATTACTATTGTGTGATCTGCGCCTAGTCTAACATTATTGTAGGAATTATGGCTCCTTCTATCTACTTGACAAAAAACATGGATTGGGTGAGCAAGATCTTAGTATTTGGATACTATGTCTGAACAAATGAGCCACACCTTTATAATGTAGAAGCACAGCATTTTTGTTCAGCTTGTCTGAAGTTCAGTGCTTTATAAATTCAAAGCCTAAACTTACATAGTTCAATAAAAATGACTGAAATGTTTAAGTCATATTCCTAGTTCTTCTAATGGAGAAATTAGTAACAGAAAGAGAAGGAAGCTGGTTAGGCAGAAATCAGTTCTTTCAGGATCTTCTACTGAGTTTCAGTTAGGCTGAGGATAGACCTGAAGAATCCAAACCCTGGGATTTGTCCCAGAGATCCCTCCTTTATGCACTTGTTCCATATACATACTTATTTCAGAAACACACACGCAATCGAGAAATTATGTTCTTGATCAAAACCATGTTTCAGCAAAAACAAAACATTTTTATAAAGACGTGGAAACTTAAAATGAGTTCATCAAGTCCCCAAGCATGGGGGAAGTGCAATGGGAAACACATTTTACTCATTTTTAACATTGTGTGAAGCAAAAGGAGGAAACTGCCATTTGTGCACATTTGTATAATCCGTGACACTGGGATAATATCTTACAGACCTTTATAACAAAGCCATGGCATCAGGGCTGTTCAGGGGCTCTGCCCTTAATTCAACCCAGTCACCATAACATATACTTTTACCCAAACTCCACATAGATGAGGGACGTTTCAAATGCAAGGAAGAGAAGGCACCCCATTTTAAGCACATGGCAATCAAAGGTTGCCCATAAGCACACTGGTGGGGAATAGATGAACTCCAAAGGATGGGTGTCACTGTCTCCCTTGATAACCTCACCTTGCTTCTTTCCTCCACATCCCATCTCTGACTGTTTCATTCTGTCAAGCCCATTTCTTCTTGCCTTGTACTCTGCTATCATTTAGCCCCCTCCTCAGCTCCAATCTTTGCTGTCCATTAGCTCTCAGAATTCTCTCACACTGCCTTCTCCTCCTAACTCTCTCATTCCAGCCCAGTGCCTTATCTTGAAGTTAAAGCCCCAGGACCAAGACTCATATGTACTGTAGACAGTAGCTAAACTCCCAAAGTGCTGGTCCCCTCATCAATAAAATCCACTTCATAGTATCAACTACAGAACTATTAGGACAATTCATCGAAAGAACTCCAGTAAAACACACAGCTCATAGAACCACTAACAAGCAGCTAACTGGAACCTCACTGTCTGGGATGGTAGTACCTAATTGAGACATGCTGGAAACAGACAATACTCCCTGAATGTCAAAGACCTCGTACAAACAACAATGCAACATATTACATGCATATATGAAGAATGTTCATGGAGTTGAACAAATCAGTATCGAGCAACAATTAAAAGAGTGATGTAACTACTGGTAAGAAACCTCCCCGCAAGGTCATGAGAGAAACTCCAAGCTCCGTGGGTCATGAACACCCAAAACAAGACGTGAAAGCAGAGGGAGGCTTGCTGGGAAGAAGAAGGGGTTCAATGGGAGAAAGGAGGATGAGACAAGTAATTTAGGGTAAAATGACTAAAATTCATTGTATATATTAGGACACTGTAAGAGTAAGTTTTTCAGAGTGTGATACATGCCTCCCTATAAGAAGTACATGTCAATTATTAAGCATTTACTTTCAGACTTTTTCTTCTTTTAGATCTTAAAGTAATTTAACTTTCCAAATCATTTTTTTTTTCCAATAGGATCTCAAATTATAGCTCAGGCTACCCTGGAGCTCACTTTAACCCAGTTTTGCACTGAACTCACAGCAATCCTCCTGCCTCAGCCTTTGAAATGCTAGATTTATAGGCACAAGCCACCCTGTCCAATCTTCAAATAAGTATTTTCATGTGATGAGAAAAAAAATAGGAATTTTGCATGTGCTTCTCTTTATCTACAAGTCTCTACACAACTTTGCTTATATACACTTAAGTATCTAAGTTTAAAAATCAGCGAGAGGGAAGTGCTTTAATATCTACTGTTGGTATTCTAAAGTATGCAGACACATATGGATTTGAATTTCTAATCACAAATCCAAGGTGGACTTTAACACTTTTGAAGATGTTAATAACATGTTGTAATATGAGTTAAAAAAATAAAAGTGGACTTTATTAGCTAACAAACATAGCTCATGTTCTTTCAGTGGGCATAGCAGCTAATCATATGTTGCACTTATCAAATACACATACAGCAGGGTGCTTAATTCCAGTTCTCTTCTTAATTACTGATTCAGAGGAGAGTAACTAAGAAAGTAATCAAGACGGCAGGGTTTGGGAACCACATCATAACTTTGGGTTCAATAAGTAA